AATGGGCACTAGTTGATGGTAGTACTGTTGTATACAAAATGAACATAATTAAAACACACAAGGAATAAATTAACCACACTAACTCTTTCACAGTGAGCCACAGTAATGAGAAAGTAACACTTAACCTAATGTTATGTGTAGTAGAGGGGGAAAGGGATTTGCAATCAGCTAGACACACCCTTTAAGCATGCTTTTTGTTCTTACTTAAGCGATGATCCCTCTTCTTTTTTCTCTCCCTCTCCTGTCTCTCTCTTTCTCGCTATCTTTTCTTTCTCTCACTCACTCTCTATTTCACTCCCTCACCCTCTCCAGCCCCATTTCTAACTCCCTTACATTTCTTCTCTTTCCTCTTCCTCCTATGCAAATAGACCTATTATAGAGAGCATCCTTCTACTTTCCTTTCCCATATGTTTCCTGATTTCTTACTTTATCCAATTTACTTTACAGATCAATTTTAAGGATTTCTGTCTCACTAGCTCATTATATTTCAGTCTTTCTCTCTCCATTTGCATTCTAACATCCTTCACTCAACTCCACTCAGCATAGAAAACCCCGCTTTGGTTCTATCCCTTCCAGAGGCAGTTAGGAACTGTAAATAATAAACCATTATCTTGAAACAAATAATTTTCTTATTTTACATTTATTATAACTAAGATGATAATAATTAAAAAAATCGGACACTGTGTTTCATATATAAAGGTACTCAGTGTTTTTTTATTTATTGGTATTTATTATTTTTAATATTTTTCTTTTTATTCTTGTATGGGCAAAGGGAAATAAAATATACTCTTGCTTGTCTATTTGGAAAGAACCATGGGCATCAGTGCCTAGACACACCCATCTGGGGCACCCCACCTGCCTATAGACAGATAGCAATTCTAAGACACAAATAATAAGATGAAGTTCACCACACCAGGTATAAACAAGAGCTCATGATGGTTCAGGTCTATGCAAAAAAGAGATAAACAAGTTGAGGATAAAGAAATAGCTAGTATGCATCAAACTCCTATGGGGTGTGGATAGATTCACACACCTGAATCTTTACAACAGTTTTGAGACAGATTTATTATCCTAGGCTTTCTTTCAAATTTCTTCATCACCTAACTGGCCATCAGGAGCTTAGAGGAGAGAATTTTCTGTGGAAATTTCTCTTTATGGCATTCTTCAGCTCCTTATTCCTGAGGCTGAAAATGATCGGGCTAAGAAAAGGGGTGAAGACTGTATAGGTGGTGGCCATCAGAGTGTTACTGTCCATGGGATGGGGGCCCTTGGGCTTCAGGTAGATGATGGAAGCAAAACCGTAGTGCACAATCACTATGGTGAGGTGGGATACACATGTGGAGAAGGCCTTGTGCCGGCCCTCAGCTGAGGTGATCCTCAAGATGGCAGCCAAGATGAAGACGTAGGAGAGGATGATGTGGAATAAACACCCCATCAGGGCTGTGACACAAACCAGGATGACACCCATGGTGACAGACGATGTCTCGTTCCCACAGGCCAACTTCAAGAGGGCAAGCACATGACAGGCAAAATGGTGGATCTCATTAGACCCACAGAAGGTGAGATGAAAAACTATCAATGTCAACATCATCCCCATGACTGAGCCATCAGCCCAGGACCAGGACACAAGACGAGCACAACCACCAGGTCTCATGAGCACGTTGTAGCGCAGGGGGTGGCAGATGGCCACATAGTGGTCATAGCCCATGCTCATGAGCAGGAAGGAGTGAGTGAAGCCAAACGTGAAGGAGAAGAACTTCTGGCTGGCATAGGCCACGAAGGAGATGGAGCGGTGGACGGAGAGCATGTCGACCAGCATTCGAGGGGTGACAGCAACAGTGAACAGAATCTCGGAGATGGAGAGGGCACACAGGAAGAGGTACATGGGTGTGTGGAGGCTGTGCTCCCTCCAGATAGTGGCCATGATGAGCAGGTTTCCCAGGAGCGTGAACAGGTACATCAGCAGGTACAGCAGGAAGAAGGTAGGCAGGAGATGCTGAGGGAAGTTGGAGAAGCCAATGAGGATGAATTCAGACATTGTGCTATAGTTCTGACCAGACAAGGATGCTGCATCTGGTGAGATCAGGAACAGAATGAAAGCACAGTGGTTAAAACAGAGGTTCTAACATAGATTAAACAGCAGTTGAAGAAGTCTATACTATATAACTATTTGCTTAACTTGTCTGAGTCAAAATCTTCATCAGTAAGATGGATTAAATCATAGCAGTTCCTACCATTCAGCATTGTGATAAAGATAAAGTGAATCAGTATATTAAGTGCTTAAAACATAATTTGACCACTGGGTTCTTAGTAACAGTGTCAAAAATAAAGAAATGCTCTCATTTTTGAACCACTAAAAACAGACATGCAAAAGCAAGGTCATATGCTATTGAACAGTGTGCCTGTTATAGAAAATGTATTTGGATCTTGGGGTTAAAAAATTCCTTCAGCGTCCTGTGTTTTAAGTGATTGTTGAACCCATTACATGTATTTTATTGGTACTCATTTATGTCATCTTATTTCATATTTGTATTTATTTATAGTAAAGGAACTGAAGAGAAAGTTTCAAAGTAAAAGGATGGACAAATATATGCTAGGCAAATATGTACAAAAGGAAGGCTGAAGCAGCAATCTTCAAAACAGAAAAAAATGAGATTGAAAGAAACAACAATTACAATAACTATATTTCCGTATTCCACTAAAAGGACCAGTGTTCCTGGAGAGATGGTCTGGGCAAGGAGCACGCCTTGTACATCTTGTGCCAGAGTAAAATAAAACTTTCACTGTAAAAGGTTAATGTTAAAAGAAGGCGGCAACCGGATTGAAAACGTGTCCATTGGCTTAAGCTGATCATCAAAGCAAATGATCGTTGTACGGATGATGGAGGAGAAAAGTAAATGACACCACAAGGAAGCAACTAGGCAAATCCAAAGGTGGAACATTCCACAGAACAATTAATTTAGTCTCATCAATGAGCCAACGTCATGAAAAGAATGACCAGAATTCCGAGCGACATAGCAACCGGATGCAATATAGGGTACCAGATTGAATCTTGATCTAGATAAACCAGCTATAAAGTATTGTTAAAGGAATAGAGACAACATTGTTTATGATATGAATGAATGATGAGGTATGAATAATATTAAGGGGTTCTTAATTATTTAGTTATTAGTTTTATGTGTGATCATGTTATTTTGGCTGGGAAGGAAAATATTCTTAGTTTAAGTGCATCCCTGAAATGTACAAATCACACGTGTACGTGTGCCAAGGGACAAAGAGGATTATTTCATACAGGTTAGAAGAACATCATAGTTTCCATCATAAATACAATTAATCGATGTAACAATATACTCTGGCATATTAAGTAACAAGTAATCGGTACAATTCTAGTGAAAGATATAAAATAAAAATAGTTAATGAATAATAGACAGATTTAAAAGTTTAGCTAGAAATTTAAATACAT